CAACCGGCATGTTGAGCGAGATCTCGAATGCTCATCTCGGTTGGCGACCCATTTTATAGCATGTACCGATTCCCCACTCGATCATGTTCAACGCGTGGTAGCGGAGCCAAGGCCATATCCTATGTCGAGGTTTTTCCAACATCCTCAAGCAGAATGAACGTGGATTTACTGCGTCCATTCAACCACATACAGATCCACAAAATTACCTTTCTAAATGTCGGTTTAAAGTGAACCACCCCCAGCAAACAAATCACTTTTACTTTTTTTAGAGGACACGCTTAGACAGGTAGGGTTACATGTCACGTCCATGCTCGATCTTCTGCTCCATCGCGCCTCCGCACCTCAACGAGTCAGGCAAATCGAAATCGCAATGTGTGCTGAGTTTGGGTGATCCGCTCAATGGATCTAACAAATGGATGTTTGTCCGAATAGTGCCCCCAAATGGTTGGTGTCTTGTTAGTTTCGCGCTAAATGCCAACCAAAAGAGGATCCACCATTTTGAGAAACCTCCACATTGAAGTGGGTTCGGTTAGAACCTGTCAAACGGAGCCCCTGATGCATGGCAAGCCCCAGGTGTGTGGTGCGCGGTGTGAGGTGCGCGGTGTGAGGTGAAGTTTTTACAGGAGCCATCGAGTGGAAAGCGTCCAAAATGGGCGGAGTGGAGTCGGTGAAGGGGGGGCAATCCCTATTTTGACGCACACCTCATACCCCCAAAACGTCTCCCCAGCTCCTTCCAAAGGCTGGGGCCGCGGCTATGCTCGTTGCTGGACTGGCCGCTGATGCTGCCGCAGCCAGTGGCAGTGATGGTGCTGCCAGTGGTGCCCTGGCCGTTTGAGTATGGAATTCGAGACCCCTGAGCATCCTGTTCATTTGCAGGCATCTAGTTGCCTGTCTGAGGAGGCCGATTCGTCTAACAAAGAAACATCCTGAATGGCACGAGGGGTTGCCCCGTTGAGCTGAATAGCAATGAGAATCCCTCTCGGCATCCATGTGGGACATTTTAGTCTCAAACGTCGCACGTTTTTTTTCCATGCTGATTACTGGATTGGCAACAGCAGGGTTCGAAGGTTGAATTTCCCGCAAAAGAAGGAGTTCGAGGGTTGAATTTCCGCAGACAACACGCATGTTCCCTGGTGTCAGGCTCTTGAACCTCTCCGTCTGACCCCCGGCAGGATTGCCGGACGCTACTCTTGCTGAGTCTTCTCGAGCACCCGCCATGTTCGGATCCCTCGAAACCTCCCCCAAAGCGACCAAGTCAGCCAATTGCACAAATCCAGCGTATCTCTTCCGTAAAGGGACAGCAAATAACGAGCAGGGACAGTGCACCGCTCCAAAGGAGGCATTAGGCGATGTCCCTCGACTTCCCCGGCCCTACACGCGGCACGTGCCTGTGAGCCCTGGTCGGGTGTCGGGGTCCCAAGACAGGCAAGGTTCGGATCCTGCCGGGCTTCGCGCGAGGGCAAGCCCTCGGGGCAAAGCCTGATGGACCAAATCTGTTCACACCAAAGCTAGGGCTTGGCAACCTCATTTTCTAGCCTTGCGTGTTGATCAGCGTTCCCTCAATTCAGGAAATACACAAGAGCTGGAACAACTTTCTGGCTCACTGTCATCCTTCTTTTTGCGCCTCTCTCGGTTCACAGCCAAAATAATGCTCGTGAATCGCCTGGACGTAATTTGGTTGCCTTTTGGAACAAGTCAGAGTGAACCCAAAGAAAAGTACTCTTCCAAAGCAGAATTAAGAGTCGTCCTATTGGCTGGAGAAGAAGCCCAGAAACAAGGACAAAGAGTCGAGACCCAAATCTCTCAGCTTAGATGAAAGACCTAAAGGCCGAACCTGCAATTCAGAACAGGCTGGGCAGAAATCACGCTTCAATTGTCTCCTTGCCATTATTCTTCTCCGCAACCGCCTGAATAGCGGTCATCATGGCTTCCTCCTGCCACAAGATGAGAAAACACCGGCAATTGTCTGAGCCTTGGGATGTTCTTGACAGTCGGATTTAGTCACTCGGCTTCTCTGAGCAACAGAATGTATTCACTCTTGCGCACACGTGCTCTCGAGCCCAAAGGCACTGAGTGGCTTTGCTGGAATGTCCGCATTCCAACCCCTCACAGCCCTTGGACTCTGCGAACCAACCCCCAGAAAAGGCACCGAGCCTCAACACGCCCAAATGTTCCTGGGCGGTTCCCGCGGACTTCCCCCAGGCTCCTCGCGTAGCCGCACACTCGGCTGCAGCTCGTCCTCTGTGTCGGGAGGGGCGTTTTGTTTGGAGTGGCTCGCTACAAGAAGTGGCACTGAAATGGGTGGTGCACCTACCCCAAACTGGTACCATTGGTTTTGACCCACAGCCATGCGGGCACCGTGACTGTAGCCAAGAGGGGAGCGCGGGTCGAGGGCACCATCCCTATCATCAGCAGGCTCAGTCTCCCCCTGATATGTGGCGACCGCAAGACAGGCATGAGCCGCATGCTGCGTTGATGACTTCAAAACCTTTAGAACAAAAAGCTGTGATTTATTTTTGGTGCAAGTTCAGTGCACTGTTAAGGCTGTTTGATAAGGCTCAAACCACTTGTATCTGCCAAAACTGACCAATGAATGACTAAGAAAGGCTTCACTAGCATGAAAGCAGTGCCGCGCCATCCTGTCCTAAGCACTCTTCAAACGCTTAGGTGGCTCAAATAGCAAGACCCCGCGAAACACTTCAGGATCGTCGATCCAACTTTGCCGCAAGTTCCAACCGAACTCAAAATGCCGATCATGGCGAGATGAAGATGACCATGGCGACGATGACGACAACAACGACAGCGAGGACGACGAGGATGACAAGCATGGTGAACATGATCGATGCCAGTGCGCAGCCCCATTCCCGTCCGCTGCGTGTGCAAAACGGCAACGGTTGCCGTGCTTGCATTTGCCTGCGGCGCCGCACATGTGAAGTCCAGAAACGCAGAGCAAATGGTCTATAACAGCGCAACTCGTCGTCGCAGTGTGATCTATGACCTATCATTGACGGCTGCCCCCAAATACTGCACGGTGGGTAATTCTCAGACGAGGCCCGGCTGGCACATACGTGCGGGAACCGTGCCACAAAAAATGCACCCAACGTACGGTATGTTTTCCCCACAGATCGCTGTCTGGGCCTCGGTTTTGCGAAAAGGGATTACAAGAGAGAACCAAAGAAAAAGGGAAGGTCAAAAAACCGGTTTCGTAAGCAGGAAAGCCAGTTCCCCGCGCACATCTTGGCAACACCAAAATTGGGAAGCCACATAAAGTCTGCTGCCTGACTGCGCGAAGACGCACATCTTCATCTTGAAAAATCCAGAGGTCGATCGGAGCTCTTCCCTCAGAGTGGACAAACGCCGATTGGTTTGGTCGAGTTCCGAGGTAGCACCAGTGGAAAACACGCGACTTCCCCCCCCATCTTCCCCATCCCTCCCCCTGCAATCTCTACGTTACCATAACCATCATGCGAAAATGGTTCCCCATTTTCAACGGCCAAGGTTCCCTAGTGGGTTGCCACTTCTTTGGCCAAACCTCCTGACACCCAAACACAAAAAGCAGCTCTGAGACATGTGTCATTGGCCTTGTGGAGAATGAACCTCGCTGTGCTACCAACACCAGTTCTTCATCGCTTTGAAAGAGAGTTTGATATCGCAAAAGCTGGCCCTAAAACCCAATATGATAATCAACCCCCAACTGCCTCCAATGGAGATGGGAGACAAAGCTGTCCCAATTGTCAGGTTCGAAATTCATGCCACAGTCGAAGTATCTTTTTGGGTTTCCCTACTAGATCGGGAAATTTGATGAGCCCCCATGGTTTTTGTGGTTGATCCCAAATTCTCCATAGACTGCCGATAGTTTGACTGAATCTCACATGTATCGCCTTACGCATCGCCCCCAAAAGTGCAAAGTCTCTGTCGAACCAACAATTGCAGAAATGAGTTTGAAGGGACATCCACTAGGTTCATACTAATGTGTGAAACATTCTGGTAGCGTGAGTGCTTGTTCTGGCAGATTAATGCCAGACCAACACGCATGCGCAGCTGGCAGGGCGTGGCATGCATTCTCATCGGGGCTTCAAAGATTCAAGTTGCCAAGCTCTTGGTGTCCAGCATAGGATGGGGAGGGTCATGACTGTGATGCGAGGTTACAAGCTGAGTTCAGGTTTGAGCTCCTTAGGCTGACGAACATGATAGCCAAGCGCTCCTACATTCAGACACTGCTAGCAAGTGTGAGCTCAGAGCGCTGCGTTTGTTTTCTTCCTGAATTCAGAAAGATGGGACAGCTTGATCAGGCGTAATTGTGCGAGTGAGCCGGGCAAACGCACGAGTCCAAAAAGTCCGGACATGCACATCAAAGCTCTTTTGCATGAACGAAGAACTTGCTGTTGTGCATGCTATGGCCATACAATTGATCAGCTACCAGGTGTAAGTAGATGAGTGCGCTTTCTTCCCAACCCAAGGCCCGGGCTCTGAATGGGCGAATCTGCAACTCACGTCATTGCAAACTCCCTCGTTGCTGATTCTCCTGAGCATGTCTTGGTTGCCCCAAGAAAACACATTCACCAACAGCAAGCAGTCACGACACGAAACAACCACCCTGTCCTACACATGCTAGTCCTGGTGAGATCTGGTTTACTTCTCACCTGGCGGATCGCAGACATGAAAAAGAGGAGACATGTTGCATGCAGTCCCCACCTCAGTCATCTCATGTGCATAGGAGCAAGCGTCGCCGTTCTCACAACGACCCTCCAGGAAGAACTTGCACATGTCCTGGCACAAGGTCGACAAAAAATTTCTCCACGTGGAACCCGGTTCGAGCTCCGATGGCGAGCGCTGCAACTCCGTGCCGGATGTACTGTCTTGAAGAGCTGCGCTGCATGTCTCCTCCTCTCGGGTCAGAGGAAGGAAGCCACCCGCACCGGAGGTTTCTGTAAGGATCCAAGCTACTGTCCCCCAAATCGTTCTGTCCCTCAACACCTTCGGAAGAAACAAAAACAGAACGTGGTCGAGTTCTCGAGCACAGCTGGCACGCTTGCCGCTCCTGATCGAAGATTGTTGCCGGCTCATCCTGCAATGCGCTCAAGCGCGTGGGCGCAAGCCTCAGCATGGCGGGCGCCGGGCGCCCGGCTCCAAACCTGCACCACTTCCCCCTGAGTTTCTGGAATGGAGCCGTGACTGGGATTTTGGGACCCCAGAAAACCCACAGATCGCCATAGCAAATGTGGGGATGCCATGGACTAAGCAGCTGCGGGGATCGCCATTTCTCTCAGGCTGCGGCCCTGGTGACAACAGCCACCTGCAGAAATGAACGAGCCTGTGAAAGGCTGGAGCCAAGGAGACGGTCGTGCACACGTGAGAAAATAAATCCAAGTCCCACTCCAATCAAACAAATCAAACAAGCAGTGGCAAGATACAAATCAACAACCCAAACCGCTCAAAAAGCCAAGTCAAAAGCTTCGCAAGCCGCAACATTGGCTTTGCCACACGGCATCCCCATCTAATCTTTCACCGAACATCTTGACCAAGGGCACGAATTCTTTGAAACACCCATGAACACGTACAATGAACATCTACGAATAAACATCTGCGACGCCACAGAACATTTCGACCAAGCGCACAAATACTTCGATTCGAGTCCAAGGGACGAAGGAAGATGCAATAGCAACATTCTGCTCGCCTGCGAGCGGACTGTGCACAAATTACTAAAATACTCTGAGCAGGTATTGCTCACAGCGACAAAAGCTCAAGGCTGAAAGGGCGTTCCGCTAGCAGCACCACTTTGGGTGCTGGAGCCGCCCCTAAAATTCCTGCGCTTTCCATGAGACCCGAGATGGAGTGGATGCCCATGAGGCCAGTACGACATGGAGCCAACTGCGCCGCACCTCAGATGCAAGCAAAAAGAGACAAACAACAATCAATAAAGCCAGATGTTTGTGCGCCTGTGGTGTGTGATTTGCGCGTGTCAGTGTGTGTTGCGTGGTTTGTGTGCGTCTGTGCGTTGTGTAAGTGTGTGTGTGTGTGGATTGTGTGCGTGTGTTGTGCGTGTGTGTGCATTGTGTCATTTGTGTGCGTGTGTGTGTGTCGTGCGGCTTGTGCGCGTGTATGTGCGCATGTGTTGTGTGGTTTGTGTCTGCATCGATTGTTTTTCTGTGTGTGTGTGCGTAGCGTGTGGGGTTGTGTGTTGCGTGGCTTGTGCGTGTTGCTTGGTTTGAGTGTGTGTGTGTGTGTGTTGTGTGCGTGTGTTCTGTGTGTGTGTGTGGTGTGTGGGTTGCGCGGTCTGTGCGTGTGCGTGGTTTGCGTGTGTCTTGTGTGGGTTGCCTCTGTGTGTGTGGTGTGTTTTTTCTCGATGTTCTTTTTGCGGTGGTGGGTGGGTGTGTGGGTGTGTGGGTGTGTGGGGGTGGTAGAGTGTTGTTGGGGGGTGGTTGGTGTGGGGTGTGTGGGCATTTGGGGACGGGGTGTGATGGGTTGTGTGGGTGTTTGGGGGTTGTGTTGGTTTGTTGTGATGGGTGTGTTTGTCTGTGTGTCTGTGTTGTGCGTGCGTGCGTGCTTTGCGTGCTGCTGCGGTGGTGCGTTCGTGGGGTGGGTGGGTGGGTGTGTGGGGTGGGTGGGTGTTGTGTGTGTGTGTGTGTGTGTGTGCGTTGTGTGCAGTGCGTTCGCGTTGGCGTTGCGGGCGCGCCGCGCTGCGCTGAATGCAGGCGCGTGCGGCGGGTGCGGGCGGCGTCGGGCGGGAGTGTGTGTGCTGCGGGCGTGCGTGCGTGCGTGCGTGCGTGGGCGTGGGTGTGGGTGCGTGTGTGTGTGCGGAGTGTCAGACTTACCCTGACACCACCTTTCTCGACGAGATCATGTTTGTCGCAGGGGGCGTGGCGGTCTCCTCGTAGCCACGCCAACGAAGCTATCGAGGATGACTGGATGCATCAAGGGACGCTTTGATGTGTACCTGCACCAGTTTTGCAAATGTCTATTTGGCCCCTTGGTTGCGGCGCTGTTTGTGCTTCTTGTTCTTTCGGGCAACGTTTTCGCCTCTAGAGGGAAACCGAGTGCTTCGCGAGTCGAAACTCATCGTACTCGAGACTTATCAGTTGTACTCGAGACTCATCAGTTGTACTCGAGACTCATCAGTTGTACTCGAAAGATTAGCACTCTCCCTTGGGAGTTGAAGTGTGACTACCCCAGCTTGGGGAAACCTCGGGTGTACCCATCGTGTGACCTCGGGCCGGTTCGCCGGAAAATTTGACCTCAACGTTCATATCATAGTCCAGCGGAATTTCACGATTTAAGCAAGAACGAGGTTTCACTAAAGGGAAGACAGCCACCAGACCATAGTGACGTCTCACCCTTCTTTCTTTCTTCTCGCCTTCGTCTTCCGCGCGCCCGTCTTCTGGTTCTTCGCCCGCCTAGGGATGGCTTCTCCTTCCTCCCGTTCTCTTCTTGCTGCCTTTCGTGACCCGCGCGCGTCCTCCTCCTGTTCGCCCGCTTAGGGATGGCCTGGTTGTCCTCGCG